ACACAGGGTTCTGAAGTTGCCCAGGCTCCAGACCGAAGGGCTCCCACGAAGGGCAAGGGCCACCGGGAAGGGGGGGGACGGGAGTCCTCTTGGCTCTGCTGCAATGGCAAGGGTCCCACCAAGCAAGGGGACACCTGAAAGAGGACTGGGAAAAGCAAACACGGCCAGAGAGGGAGAGAGCCGCCCACGGCGCCGCGGGCTTCTCAGGACAGGCACCGTGCTGGCTGCAGGGCCTCCGTGCCCGGCCGGAGAGGGAGGTTGTCCTGCCCCAGCCCAGTTCCCAAGGCTTACCAGTCCCCCCCTCCAGCAGAGGCCCAAAGGGAGCCCCCCCTCGCTCAGCCCACCTTGAGGGTGTAGAGTGTCTCCAGCAGGGCGGCGTAGTCCTCGGGGCTCTCCTGCTGGAGGTAGTTGTGCTCCTTCCAGGGGTTCCTCGCGGGGCTCGGCTTCTCCTGGGCCGCATCGGGGAAGCCACTCAGGCCGCAGGGGCCGTAAGAGTCGGACAGGTACTTCCCTGCCGCCGAGAGGATCCTGAGAACCACCAAAGGAAACCAACTGGTGCCAAAATCCCCAGGCTGGGGATTCAGAAAGTGGGGGAAGCCTCCGCCTTTGCAGCCTCACTGCCCAGGAACGGCAGTAGGAGGGTGCTGTGCCCCCCAACAACAACAACACTGCCGCCGCCGCCACCACCATGCGGGGCCCCTCACCAGGTCCCCTGCTTTGCTGCTGTGAGACCTTCTCCAGCTTGTGCCAAAACAGCTCCGTCTGCCCCTGGAGCAAAACCACCGGCAGCCTCCCCTCCACCTTCTTCCCACCGGGAGCCTCACCGGTTGGCCAGCTGCTGCTCAAAGTCTCCGCACTGGCGCAGGAGCTCCCCGCAGGTCCCGATGATTCTGGAGTGGGGGGGGAGGAGAAAAGCATTCGAAACACGCCTGCATCCAGAGGCCCCCCAGGCAAGACCTCCCACCCAGGCAGCAGCCAGAGACCACTTTCAGGACTGGGGGGGGCTCTCTGGCAGAGCAGAGGGGTGCCAGGTGCCCACCATGACCAAAAACAAGCCATGGGCATCGGGGGCAGAGGGCAAATTTTACACTTGGCTCACGGGAAACTCCACAGTAACATTAAAGGGGAACAGGAGGCGACCCTCACGGGACCCCCCCAGCAGAAGGAGAACTTATCCCCCTTCCAGACCCCTCCTCACCGGACCGCCATCTGGAAAGCACTCCAGTCCTCCTGGAAGAAGGCATTGGGAGGGATCTCGTCCAGCCGGCACTTCTTCCGGATCGACTGCAGGGCGTTGCTGAAGTCAGAGGCGTACCTGCAGGAATGGGCAAAAGGTTCCCCCGCCGGGAAGAAGAGGACCCCGCAGGCTGGATCAGGCGTGCAGCAGCCTCAGGGCTGAGCGCCAGGTGGAGGAGGGGGCCCAGCTGCGGAAAGGCCCCCCCACACACACACACACACGCACACACCGTCCCCAGCGCCAGGCCTGCACGTTTGCTGCAGGAACCCCAAGAACCCTAAAACAGGTAAGCAAAGGAAGCCGCTCCCACGTGGGATCAAAAGGGAGGTGACCCCCCCCCACAGGCTGTGCAGGACACCCTGCGGATTCCTCCAGCCGAGGGCGCTCCCAACTGCCCCCCGAGTCCTTCTCGGGAGACATGGTTCTGTGCTTGTGCAAGGAAAGGCAGGACTCAAACACACACACACACACACAGAGAGAGAGAGAGAGAGCCACCACCACCCCCTCGTCGGCACCAGAGCCTCCCCTGCCAGCCCGCCCCCGCCCCGACTCACTTGCTGAAAAGGGCTCGCAGGGCCTGGAGGAGGCCGCCCACGCCCAGCCCGTCCGTCAGCCGCAGGCAGTTGTCCACGGCCCCCGAGGCCAGGCCAAAGAGCTTGTTCACCGCGTGGCTGAGCTCTTGCACACAGTCGAGGACCTCGCCGCGCTCCTGCACAACCACACAAGGCCACGGCCCGGGATCAGCCCTTCCCAGGGCAGCAGGCATTCATCAGGGCCCGCGGGAGCCCCAAACTTTCAGAGAGCGGCCGGGCCCTGGACGAGCGAGGAGACGGTTTGGACGACACATCTTTTTTTTTGGGGGGGGGGTCTTGGCTCACAGCCAAGCAGGCCTCAAAAGGCACCCTGCTCTCCGGGATGCTGTGACTTCCTGGCCCTCTTCTGAGCGAATTCTGCCCTGCCTTTCCACAGCACAGACCACGGAAAAACAGCTCAAAGTAGGCTCTTAATGGGGATAATCCAGCCAGTGGCTAGCCTTTCAAGCAGTTGGCAAACCGAGGAGAGGCCGGAGGAAACCTAAGCAGCTGCAACAGCCACCCGGTCTCCTACCTCGCACATCTGGGAAAAAGGAACCAGGCGCACCTATACACTGGCAAGGAGTCTGAGCAGCAGCCCTGGCTGCCAGGGAGAGGGCATCACCCCCCAAAGGGACCCTCGTGCACCCCACTGAAGCCAAGCACCCCACATCTCTGAAGGGCCCTGAAGAACCAAACCGTTCACTGCTTACACAGGGCCGATGCCTTTGGTATTGCTCTGGCGGCTGCACCTCCTTTCGTAATCAGAACACAACTCACTGGAAACTATGGGATCCCATCGTGGGAAGCAGAGAAGGGGGGGACACACACACACGCACACACTTACCAGAGGCACAGCACTCATCTGGATGAGCAGGTTGCCTTCCTCTAGGGCACCGTACTGCAGCTGGAGCGGTTTGTAGGGGCCATAGACAGCGTCAACCAGTTCTGTCACCTTTGCCAGATTGCATTGCTCTGAAACCCCCAAAACACAGGATGACGAGAAGGGGAAGAGGGAGGGGCCTCCTGCCCCCTTTCGCTCCCAGGGCCATCGGCAACGCCCGGGTCCCCCTGGCAAGGTGGGTGCTGGGGCAGGGAGGAGGCCTGCCTCAAGGTGAGCAGTCACCGGCCATCCCCGTAACAAAACCAAGGGAGGGGTGGCCATGGGCGTGAGGGCCACCCAGGCCCCCTTCCCAGGCCCCCACACCAGAAGGGCCCCTCCCCAAATTTGGCAAGGAGAGGAAGGGGGCGATGGCGAAGCAGGTATGGAGCTGGCGTAGGAGCTGCCTGCTAGGAGCACCAGTGCCAGAAGGGCACCCCAGGGGTTTCATCAGCGAGGAACTCAGCCCCACAGAGCCAGCTGCCTCTCCTGGCTTTTTCCTCAAGGCAGGTCATGCCCATCCTCCATGAAGAACCTTGTAAAGCAAAATATGCTGCCCTTCGCCATGGACCTGGCGGCTCGGGGGGGGCACACCACACCCCACCCTCAGGCTTTCTGGGCCTCCCCCCCTCCAGCCCAATGTTGTTGTTCCCAAGCGCTCCCACCAGGACCTGCTGCTGTTGCAGCTTCCAGAGACAACGCCTGCAGCATCCGGGGGCCTCGGCCCACGGGCCGAGAACCCTGTGGCCTTGCCCACAGAGGACCCTCCGCTTGCTGAAGAAGCGAGGAGCTTCTGCCGGGGGCTTCTGTCGTGGTTGCCAAGGCTCTGCTCACACTCAGGTGAGCGTTGGGGGGACCCAACCGCTCCTGATCCGCTCTGCAGTGGGGGAAGGGGCACGCTGCAGGAGGCTGTGCCCAGGCCCTGCGTCCTGACCCAGGAGGAGGGAGACCTGCATCTGCTCCCTGGGTCTCTGTGGGATCTCTCGCCTTCAGCACTTTGGGGCCACACCTGCCTGCCAGCGCCCAGCGCCCAAGGCGAGCAGTGAGCGTGCGGGGCCAGCTCACTGCACAGATGCCCCAAGCCCCGCGCAACAGGGTCGGCAGGGAGCGGAGGGACCAGGAGAGGGTTTGGAGGAAGCAAAAGTGCCAAAATGGTGTTTGCTCAGGGCAGAATCCGTAATGTTCGGTTTCAGCAAACAAGCAAAGAACTAAGTCAATACTGCTCAACCAATTTACACAGAGCTTGGTACAAATGTTATATAACCGATAAATACCGTCAGTGCAATGCTAACAAACCCCGGTCTTGCAAAAACTCCCATGGACGGAAAGAAGAAAAGGCGAATCCACGCCCTCGGGGCGTTTGGGCACCCTCAGGCGTGAGACGGCTGAGACAGAGCAGGCACTCACTCAAGTAGGGCAGCATGGCAGCCTCCAGCCCCCGGGCAAAGTAGGTGGTGGCGTCATACAGCCCCAGCAGCTGGCTGAGCTTGCTCTCAGGTCCTGCGCGCTCCACGGCGGTGCTCAGGCAGGTGGGGATCGAGGGCACCAGCGCTCCCAAGGCTTGGATCAGCAGGACCGTCACCACCTGGTGGGGGGCCTGGAACACCTGCGGGCGGGAGGGAGGGAGGGAGGGAGAGGGAGAGGGAGAGAGAAAGGTCCGAGTCTGGAATCAGCCACGAGGAGCGGCCAGTGCCTGGCAGAAGGCATTCCGTGGGATAGTCACACAAACAACACGAAGCCCGGGGAGAAGGCCGGGGCAAACCAGGCCGTTTCAAAGGGCTGGGAGAGAAATCCAGGTCACCTCCATTTAGGTCTTGAGGTTCCAGGAACCTGGCACGCCACCCATTCATTCCGTGCTGGCCTTGAAGGTCAACAAACTCACCAGTTGCTGAATGTCCATCCTTTTGTGCAAAAATCTATTAGCCTAGTTAGCGGACGGAAGCGGCAAATTGAGAACCTCGACATCAGAATGGTTTGAGCAGCACCGCCCACCCTTGGGAAAGGGGTCACCTGCAGGCCTCTCCGATTGCAGGAAAGCCAGAAAACAGACATGTACGAAAGGCATAGACAGAGGCTGGAAAGATGGCAAGAGGAGGGGGCGTCCGAAGGGAGGGGGAGAGGCCTATTTGGCCCCTACAGCAGAGGGTCAAGGCAGAAGGAGCGAAAAGGGGGCGACTGTCAGGCTTTTGATTCAAGAGGTGATTCTCTGTCTGAAAATAAATGGAGAAGATGGATGGAGCGGCTGGCTTGGCAGCCTAACGAAGAAGGTGCTAAGCAGTAGCAGGACATCTGGAGGGAAGCAGGCAGAGCCCGCTCTTGGTCAACTAGGCACAAATCAGCCTTGGCACGCTGGCAAAAGAAATCAAGCAGCGGAATGAGGCGAGTGCGAGGCGCCTTTGGGCAGAGATGCAACCAGACCCCCAGCTTCACCATCTGGCAAAGGGACCTGGAAGAGCAGCAAAGGGATAACCTGTTCGTCTTGTGCTGGAAGGCACCCCTAACCCCCCCCCCCGGTATGTTTTAGCCACAGAAAGGAGGAACTGAATTTATGTTAAAGAGGTCACTGGGGGTGCTGGAGGGCTGGAGGACGACACTGGAGGTGAGGGTGCTGCTAAGTGCACAACCTGCATTTATTGTAAGTCATAAAATGGCCAAGACCTCATTAAGACCGTTGTGGTTGGTAGCACTGGATCATTTCAAACAAGGATGTAGACAGGCAGAGTTTATGATGGTAGATCATTACCCTTGTTTTCTTCCTGCTAGAATCTGTGCAGCCAGTGTAAAAAGCAGCAACAACACAAAGTCATGCAACTGTACAAATTTCTATCTGCTTTTGAATCTCCATTGCTTAAGGAACGCTGCCACTTACACACTGAGCCTGCTACACAGCGTGGGTCTCTTGTTATCATCTGCACTTAAGCATGCCAGGGTCCAAACCAAAGCACCATTCGAGATGCTTCCTGGCCAGCTAGTGAGCAAGACAAAGAGGACAAGGTTTTTAGCTGGAGCAAATTTGCACACAGAACAGGGCTGTGTAAGGCGCACTCTCCTGCATACCGCCTTTAAGGTTTTTTTGGGGGGGGGGGAGAGACACGGGGCCAGAGGCTGCGCTCCACATCAACGACACTCACAAGTTCCTGTCTTGCTCCACGTGGGTTTTGAAACATCATCAGCATTTAATCATAGACGGTAATCACAGCCTCAGGAATTCAGAGAGCTCAAATGTTCCTAAATAATCTTTATGGCAGAATCACTGAAGCCTGCTGGTTTTTCCTGTTTTGGAGCATGCGTGTCACTGAACATCGGCAGAGCAGGATCAGACCTAACAGTAACCTGAGCCTTACCTATCTGAAAATTTCCTGCGTGTTTTTATCATGGTGATCCACACATGGGTAGCAGGCTGCAATCCTTCCACGGGGCCTGAAACTCGGACCCTGACCCTGAGGGGCACTCCTGTGTGCTCTGGAGAGGCAGCTGCCACCTGCCCTCTGCCCACCTGTTTATGCAGGAAGACTTGGTGGCCAAGGCAGGAGGCCGGCCCCTGCTGCAGCCTGGGGAAAGAAGCAAAGCGCTTCCTTCTCTTGCAGGTCTGAAAGGCACAAAAGGAAGCAGGTGTCCTCGCCCTGAGCCGGACCCAAGACTCTCCAAACCCCAGGGCTCTGACCAGCAGGAGAAGCAGCTCTGCAGGGCTTCCG